TTGTTCATTTTGCTGAAAATATTCACTCTCCTCAGCCCCTACCACAACTTTTTTTTTTTTTTCAATTTGCCCGAAAACAATTTGCAAATTGGGTGTCATTTTAGCTCTTTATTGCCTGAATATATATAAAATTGTGCAAAGAAAATATTACTTGTTTTACAGTTACCAATCAGACTTACAATCTCTCCCAGTCAATAAGTCGCAATTTCTTTTCCATAGTTTGGCTGGTCACGCTACATGGAGTCAGAATTGCATCATTCAATAAAAAGTTAATTTTCTGCTATAAAACTCTCCTGGTCATTGAATCCTAAACTAAGTCCTAAATATTTCTTGGTTATCATAATGATAAGGAAGATTTTCAGGAGGCTTTGGCTCCCTGATAAACTAAAGAAATCTATCATGTGAAAAATGCTGATACAACTTTAATTAGAACAGCTGTCCTCTGCATTTACAGCACACACTGCAGTGTCTTTGCTAAGTTCAGTGAGGCGTTAGTCATAAACTTTCAAGAAATAATCTAAAAACCTACAGAGGAAATGCTGACATTGTTCTCATTTTCCCGAGGAAGTCCATTAGAACGTCACTAAGTGAATTTGTGTGATGAATGAATTATTAATAACAAAGAGGCTATTGCTGATTGTTTGTTTGTTTTTTTTTGCTGAAATTAATTGTACTTGGCATTTGGGAACTCTGCCCAGCAGGTAACCGGCAAACTGCCAAAATCTGGTACAATGTGGACTCACATTGGCTGTTAAACGAGTCAAACTGTATCCACTTCCCCTTTTCCCAAACAGCTGAAGACATCCGACTTATTTTTCTGCTGTGATGTTCATTACATGGAATGTGAATGGACCGTGATACTGGAACAGGGAAAGTGTCTGTGGCGTTACAAGTAATAAAAGAGAACATCAAAGGACGAACACAAAAACTGCAGAAGATGGGAAACGGAAACTTTTATGGGGATTTATTTTATGAGAGTCTAGAATGGACCAATAGCATACATGTCAGGCTGGATAAAAAAGATTAAGTTATTCTAACTTGAACCCATAAACATTTCCTGACAAATATCTGACATCAGACCATATTTTTTTGTGACTGAATAAAAGCTGGGACACAGATGGCAGCCAACAGGGAAGATTAATTCATTATAATCTGACAGCTGCTTTACAGGCTGTCATGACTGATGATTGTCCTTTAAAAGATAACAGTCAGGAAATCAGTCATGCATAATCCTGATGTGACAAAACTTAGGTTGTGGATCAGGTGAGAAGATTATGCTGAAATGTTAAAACACTTCATAATGTTTCCTTTACATGTAGGATCCTGTAAAAAAACCTAAATAGCATTTTCTGGTTCAATAAAGACATACGACAAAAGCAGTATATAGCAAACAGTGAGGCAATGTTTTAGGTCAAGTCAACAGTAGAGATATTAAAAGGTCCAACAACAAAAATGGATTTTAAAGGTTTAGATGTGAAGGTCAAAGTAAAAGGTTAGTCTCCATGGCAGAGAGCGATATCCATCGAATGGGGAAAAGAGTCAGGCAATTTTGTTTTATAACGGTGCTGCAAACAGTGCTATAAACTTCAATTAATGCTTTTTCAGTAACTCGGCGCTCTTACTGTGTCCCGATTCCGTTGTCATGGTGCCTTTCTCAGCGTACGGCATTTGGGTTCAGGTCATCTAACGTCTCTGTGATTTGCAGGTGCAACATTTTTAGCTCTCCTATGACTTAGTGCATCATTATCCTATATACTCAAGCAAAATGATTTATATATCTTAAAGATTACATTATTATGAGATGGACCTAGATTTTTTTAAAATTCCAATTTCTTTTCACAAATACTATCTGAAAAGTGTGGCATGAAATTCAGTTCAACCCCATGCTCCCTTCTGCTGCAAGTTTTTCTTCCAGGATTGGTTTGGACATGTGTCCAGTCAGCTGTCTTCCCCATGACTGTGACCCAGAGAGAGAGACCATTTAAAGGTTTTGGGAAACTCTGCAGGTGTTCTGCATTAATTAACTGATTAAGCTATAATCATCAAAATTACTAGAAACAGGCTTGAGATATATATACACGAGTTTCATTTTCATGCAATATTCAAATTTTTTAAAATGTACTAGTACTTCTTTTAGAGAAAGAAAACAGAAAACAACTAAATCACAGAGGAACTGATGGCAGAAGAACAAGTTTGATTTTCATGCTCATCCTGTCACAAATGATGTAATCCTGAGTTCATTAAACCTGTCACTCACAAAAAGCTGCAGAGAATCAAATCGTTTCAGAGATTGCATCAGAGAAGTTCTACAGACAGCAGCTGCAATAACTACCAACAACAACACAGAGCAAGCTGGGATCGTGGCCCATTAACACATATTGGACCATTTGAGTCAACTGTATTGGAGCTAAAACTGGCATGACACGGGCCAGACGGGACCAGGGCACTCCTGACATAAACCATCGGGTTGGCAGGAACATATGCCAACAAAATGTCAGTTAAAAACGTTCAATAATTCATAGCTGCTTCTCTTAGATTGTTTAGTGATGTGTTAAAATAGATCACTTGAGAAAAATATAGGCTCCAACGTCCAGGAATAGTCTTACCCTGCTCAAATAGAAAATGTCAGCATTATTATTATTTCAGGATGGATGTATTTGTATTCTTCAGTGGAAAGATTTTGTTGCTCCACTCTTTACCTCAACAGAATCCTAAAGCTTCTCTCTTGGTCAGAGTTGGGCAACGTGTTTGACCAAGTTTCCTGTTTCAGTCAGTTTTGTTTTTTTAATATCAGAGTGAAACTGTCCTTTTTCTGAAATAAAAACCAAGTCAGCCAGTTTGTTTCTTCAACATTTCTAAATACAATCTCCACTACATCTCCTGAAAATCTTCATCTGACCCATCTGACTTGAGCAAAATTTACTTTTGTCTCTCATCCAAAGGAAAAGCTTCAAATCTTACTGAGACATTTTCCTTATATCTTAAGAAAATGTGACTCTTTCTGCAGAAAAAGCAAGAGGGATTATTTTAATAGTTGTCAGTGAAATGTTTTCATAAAGTACGACAGACCTTCATAGTGTTTGAGCAATAAATCAGAGCCTTATTTCCATTTCCTCTTTCCCAGTAACATACCGTCAATGAATCAGTTCAAAAGGTCAGTCGAAGCAGCTTAGATTGAAGGTACTACACATTTGTGGTGAATAATGCTACAAGTGTAATTCCACCAAATTTTGGTTGATCATTATTATTTCCTTTTCATCTTACATCTTTTTGAAGTCTCACAATAAGATTTATTCTGCCACAGGAAATAGTTTTTCATCTAGAGGTATAATGAGAACTTGCAGATAGATATAGACCATATGTTTCAAAAGTGGAAAAGTTCAAGGCCAGAATGAATAGATTATTTGTGCAAGAAAACATGGCATTTTTCTTTTTGTGTAAATCTCAGGAACAAATTGAGCGTATAAATGAGCCAGCGAGAACATGAATGCACAGAATCACAGGGGAATCAGGAGTTTTCTACAGAACCAAAAGAAGCAAGGCTACATGAAAAATAATGAATAAATTACATCTAATTACAAAGATGCTAACATGCTTAAATGAGGATAATGCTCTCATGTTGAAATTCATGTCATAGGTTAATGAAAAGCCAGTAAGAGGGAGCAAAGACAAACAAATAAAACCCTAAATGAAAAAAAGACTTGCCACGTAATACTAGGGATATATTTTTAAAATAATATTTTAATCCAAATAGTAAAATTGTTCATTTCAGTGCAATGTTCTGATAAATTAAATGTGGCACCATAAGATGATTACAGAAAATATGTTGGATTACAATAAGCTCTGTTCAAATTCAACATAAAGTCCAAATCCCTTTTTTAAGTAATGGGCTGAAAAGAAAACAGTGTCAGTTTAGCTGCTTCGCTGCAAAACCAGATTAATATAAAAGTAAATATGAATAAATATGAAAAGAAATTAAAATAATTAAAAAGAGTTTGTTGTTTTGTATGAAGAAAGATATGCACAAAGAAATAATATACAGGCTGATGTTTTTAATCAACAAGTCTTTCTCATCATCTGATATTAAATCAGTCTTAATATTTAGGATTACCAAAACTCCATTAACCCTCTAACCCCATATTTATAGTACCATAATTCCTCCACACTTCGTGCTACCTGAAAAATTCCAAGGGTTTCTGAAAGAGGAGGTGTTGAGCTTTCCAGCCAAAATCGGGTTATTACGATAATTTCACCCTCGTCATAGCAGGGAGTGAAATTAATCTGAGGAGCAATTGCAAAAATAACTTGTTAGATATTGAAAGTTCCAGTTGTTATTGATAAAAGGGCAAATATAGTTACTACTAGACATTTAAAATAATTAGCCAAGATATCAAGAAAGGATTTATGGACCTCCACAGGGTTTATCCGATTCATCCTGAAAAATTCCAGATCCTTAAGAGTCTCTCTCTGCTGTCACATTTACACACAAGTCTAAACACCCTGAGAAATTCCAGCTATCACACTGTTTACAAAGGGGACTCCTTCTGTGTCCCATAGATGAATGTGTTTAGGTGCAGAACACAGGCATGAAGACTGGAACAAAAGCCAAAGACCTTGTGAGGATTCTGGCTGAGGCTGAGCGTCATGTACCGATCAGAAAGGACAAACCTAAAACCAACGTAGTGAGCTAGACTGCAGTTTGGAAATACTGCCTAATCCCAATCATTTCATTTGGAGAAAAAAAAAAACTGGTTCAAGAACATCATCCAACCTGTTGGCATCATTTTGTGTGGATGTTTTTCTGCAGAATGGACTGATGTGCCTCAAAAAATGAACTATGTGACAATTAAGTGATAGTCCACAGATAAATCTCTGACTTAGTCATCATTCAATTCATTAATCAATATATTGCCATTATATAAAAGCCATTATCCATTAGGGATAAAGCCATTTGGCAGTCAGTGTGAAACTACAACCTTCAAGTTCGGAACAAAACTCACCACAGTTCTCCTCGTCTGCCTGGTTTCCACAGTCATCGATGCCGTTGCAGTGCAGGAGCTGCGGGAGGCAAACTGTCAGATTGCCACAGGGAAAATATCCAAGTGGGCATGTACCCTTCTCCTCTGTGGTATTGAGTGCTGCAATCAAAACAGAGAGTCACAAAAATATGACTTAAATCAAGGTTTTCACAGTATGCTTAATTAAATGCTCTAAAGATTCTTTCCTAAAAAAAAGTTTATGTAGAGGAACTGAAATGCTCAGTTTTATGTAGCTCTTGTCAAGCTACTGTGTTTTTTCTTACAATTTGTCTGGCCAAGATGTTGTACATGCTGCAAAAAGAAGCAAAAGTCTGACAAATGCATGTAGGGTTGAAGCAACTATTTGGATTAATCATGATTAATCAAAGACTGAAGTAATTGTCAACTAGTGAAGTAATGAATAAATTGTTAACTGGCGTCTGAAGACTCAAAAGGCCACTTCTTGAAAGAACGCAGTCACAGCCGCAAATAAACTAAAAGTGGAACAAAAATATATACATTTTTCATTGAAGATGAAAAAGATTCTGTTTGTAAATATGTTCTACCCAAAACTGTCAAGTGGCAAATTTAGCTTCAAACAGTTCTGTACAAAGAAGAAAAATCTATTAAGCACCCTTTGCTATCAGATGATTAATCAAAACAGTAGTCAGCAGATGGGCTTATAGGCTGTGTTGATACCAAGTCAAGCAGAAAGACCTTAGCTTTTGTAAAATGTCTTTTTGAGCTGCAGATGCATTATGTGGTGCAAATAATGAAGCGTACACTAAAAGAATGTTAATGCATTTTAGATAATGGTTTATTTTCTTTTATTTTAAAAAGGAATTAAATTATTTGTTTATTTGCATTTTAATGTAATTCTAATATTGTATAAAATCATCTTAAATGGTTAAATGAAAAATTCAGAAAATCTCTTTTATTCTTTTCATTTAAAATACAATTAACATGCAAATGAAAGGAAAGCTTTGTTTTATGTATTAAATCTATAAAACAACTGCAAAGGCAGTTTTATAGATTTGTCATGGTCATGAAACGTAATATTTTATAGGTTGTTCTGTGAATTTATGCAGCTACTGCCATGAAAAACCAGAGATAACAAAAAATTGAGTAAAGATTGACAAAAATGAAACTGCACTTGCAAAAACGTTCAGCAACGGCTGCAATAAATTAAAAGGCTTCGTCAATGACAGATAAATCATCTCCTCCAGTAGTGACTCATGGTCTCCGCTTTTTCTGCCTTCTCAATAAATCTGTTCTGTTTACGGTTAAAAACAGAGAAAATGTATAAAACCCAACAGCCCATCAAAACATTCACAATAAAACATGAATTGTTGATTACTTTTAATTAAAGCTCTGCTAAAGAAGTATTTCCAAATACAGTACTTGATTAACTCTTTACCTGGACTAGTTTTATTAAATTAAATGAAAAATGATAAAAACTTTGTAAATTGCCCCTGCAGCAGTTGTCTTGAGTACCTTCTGGTTAATTAGTACATCCTCACATAAACAGCAGCATAATCACCTCATTTGATTTTAGCCCATGTCTCTCGTGACTGTGAGTGAAAATTAAGTATTGCTGAGGTTCTGCAAATGAATAAGCTCTAAGCTTGACGTTTAGAAATGTCTTGATGCAGAACAGATTATGAGCTACACAGAGAAGAAATCAGTCTTTTTATGATAATCCAAATGGGTCTAAGATCCATAACCAGCCATTTTTTTAAACCAGTTATTAATTTGAAGTATTAAGGCTGATCTGCTGCGTGTATAAGAGGTTGTTTGCACCCAGCGCTAAGGAGTATTCTGATAGATCTGATTATAAAAGAGGGGATTTTTAAGAAGCTGTTTTTATATTTTAAGAACATCTCTGCAGCACACAGATATTATACATCTATGTGCTGCAGAGATCTATAAGATGTGTCCTATAAAAGGATATGTCTTTATGTATCCTTATATAAGATATATAAAGATATTACCATGTCCTTATTTGTCCTAGAAATATTGAATCACCAGTGTCGTCCAAATCAGAAGGTTGTACGCCCGCTTTTACATCGCAAACAGACAGAAAAAAAAAATAAAAAATCACTCAGTGAAAACAAGACATAGGCTTAAAAGGAAACTATGAACCAATACCCATTCTATTAATACTACTAAAACAGTGGATTAATCAAGAATTATGTCTGAATCTTGTTAATTCTTGTTAAATCTTTTGCCAAAGATAAGCCAAATATAAACAGAATAGAACAAGGTATAGTCAGTATGTTTGAGTCTATAAATATAACCTTAAAGTGTGGATACATTTATAAAAATAATTATTTTAGATCATATTTTTGGTTTTAAGGACATCATTTCAGAATCAGCATTTTACACAGCCAGAAGCTTGCAAGTAGGACGATAAATGAATAATGCTGCACAATAAAGTAATGACTACTTCTATGCTTCAATTATCTGAACAAGATGTGTTCTGGATTTTGCTGTGTTTTCATAAATAAGTTATGACAAAACATATACAGCTTTGGACTCAAAAAGTCAGCTTCCTGCATTTAGGCACTGCAACCATATCTACTTGTGGTTAAGTAGCAGCAGGGGTTTCCTTGAAAAGACCGCCTGTTTGTTTGGACTTAATGCAAAAAACAGATAAGCTAGAAAAAAGATTCTGATGGAAACCTGGTTTCTTGCAAAGAGCAAAAACAGGCAAAGAGGTGGCTTATGTTTGCAGAATATGTCCAAAGCCTCAGCAGCAAACGCTGAATGTGACCTGAGCTCTGGAATCTGACTGTCCTCAATGTGTCCCAAATGCATTCACACCTGTACTCTGCTGTTCACTGTAATCAGATCAAGCAGGACGCGTGCTGGCCTCGGACAGAAACTGCCTCTAAAGAACGCAGAGCACTATGAGAGCTGCTGTGATTTTAAACTACCTTGAAAAATTGTAAGAGAATGGCATCCTCAACTTTGCTTAAATGTGAGCTGCTGCATTTTTCAGCTTAAGAGGAACTGATGTTAAAAATCACAACAGACCTGCAGCCACATGTGAGGCAGAGCTGAGGGAGACAGCAGGGAAACAGCTATTATGTTGTGCCGATGCTGAGCAAGCTGTTTCTTCATTTTCTATACAAGCATCAGGAAATAACATTCTAAAGGGTAATTATGTTTTTACTTAACTCATGATCTAAGGATACTTTAAACATTTATGCATACTAAATGGACAAAAAGGAAAACAATTCTTATTTAATGACCTATTGGGAAATTTAAAATACCCCTTGAAGCAAATAAAATGAGGGAAACCCAGTGTAAACTTTAATGTTGCTATAAAGGTCAAAACACTTTTGCTTCTCAAAAACTTGTACATCACAAAAAAAAACAAGGAATTGTTGTGAATAAATGGCTTCCATCAAAATCAAATTCACAATTCTTCTTTTAAAATGTTAAATTTCTGCACTGGCTATAAAACTTACAGTCATAAACCTGAATCTCTATATAAAGCATGCCGGTCATGTTTCAACCTTTGCAGAAGAAATGTAGCTATGAGAAAACAAATAAAACAATAATGTCCTCAATGTCTGTTTAGCAGACACAATTTTCTCATCCCTGCCTTCCACTCTGACATTGTATATAAAACAATAGTGCACTATTTACCATAAGTTGAGATTCATGTGTGGATCTTATGCTGTCCTCAATTGTTCTGTTTTATTTCCAAGCATTTATAAAAGAAATAAAAGTTTTAAGTTAAAAAATTTTAATGCATCAGGGCAATGTAAAAGCCTTCTAAAAGGTTTTCACTTTAAGTACACAACATCATGCAGCACATTCAGTACTGCAAGCTGGAGTAGCGTTTTTGGATCTCATTTCCAGTCTTGCTTCAGTTCCTTGAAAAATGTCTTTGTGCACAGATATCTTAAGTTTCCATCACAACAATATGAAATTAAAATCTGATGTGACACACCCCATTTTTGTTTACATTTTGTGAAGAAGGAAGTTGTCAGAGTGACAGGTTTTCATGTCGTTTCCTTCAGTAGTTCTTGGTGCAGCGCCCCCACAGGCAAAGGGGGGAACATGTTGCTCAAAGGGTTTGGTTCATTTGACACTGCAGTGTGAAAGCGACAGCAAGTGTAACAAATGCTACAATTTTGGTTCCCGGACCACCAGGTGTGAGCACACCTTGAGACCCAACCATGCCTGAAATATTAGCAGCTTAGCTGATATGAGAGATGATAAATCTACCGGGCAATCTGTGGTACTAAAGTGACAGACAGATTCACTATAATATTTATTTTCCTTTTTGTCAGTTATCCAACAGGATTATTGCTTTTTAATGCCTAATGCTATAATGTAAATCCTTGATTTCATTATCTAAATAAAACCTAAAGTGATATGGCAACAAAAAAGCCAGAGATTTAACTTTTATGTCAAATATGTCGATAAATGTTTTAGTTATCGCTTCTGAAAGAAAGCAAACTGTAGGAGAATAGAACAAGGTATAGTCAGTATAAATGTTTGATGTAACCTGGAAGTGGAACGAGTTATGTGTCTGACTCAGCTGCTTCACAGCTGGAGGTCTGGCAGAAGATGTTCTTTCACTCTCAAGGAAGCAAAAAGAAGAAGGTGAAAACGAAAGCCCCTAAAATAACATGCTAATCTTCATCTTTTGCCATGGAAGACGGGATGTGTTAAATCTTATTAGTAAGACCAGAGATGGAAATCGTGAATCTAGCTAAAATAGTGAATACTCATAATTCTAGTACTCGTCTATGACAGTCATTTTAAACTCGGGGAAGTTTGCAGGCGTATGTCACTTGGCCTGGCTGATTTCCATGTTTCTTTGAAGTCTGACTGAAGCTAATGTTTTTGCCCAAAGAAGAAAGAAAGACTAAACACAAAAAACGTAAAAATAATGTTTTTTTTTTTTTCATAGAGGTAGTAATTGAAACCACAAAAACAAAAACAAAGGAATTACCTTCTATAAATGAAATCCTGTATTGCAATGGATGGTTAATTGCACCATTACAGGTTTCATCTGTTTTTGTTGTTATTCTTTTCCATTACAGGTTTCATCTGTTTTTGTTATTTATTTTTTGTCACAATTAAAATTGGGATCATTAGACAAAATAATTTTCTTGTAAACATTTATGTACACACCGTTTCCAGATGAACATGATTTGTTGTGTCTTGCTTTTACAAATAATTCATTAGACTCTGTATTTTTGTTTCCTACTGTCTCTCTTCTAGGAAATGTGTCTGAGGTTGCTAGTTTCATCCCATATATTTCACAACTGACTCATTTGTGTTTTCATTTACTGAAGGCACTAAAGAAAATTTAGCTCTTTATTTTTTCGGTACCCTTTACGCTAAAGAGTTTCAGAAGTAATTTCCACATAAAGACAAAATAATAAAATAAAAATGAAGAATAGCTCCACAGTCATCAGATAAAAAATGCTAACTTTTGGTACATGTGTAAAGATAACAATATTTTGATAGTGACATCACTAATGATGTTGTTATCCTACCTTATTTATTAGTAATTAAACAGTAAATTAGAAAAAAAAATGTAAGCATCCAAGTAAACATTACAAAATACAATAAAAATCCTTGTCCAGACACAAAAGAATGGCTCAGACTTTTAAATCTATATCTTGGTTAAAACTTCATAGTTAGGACTGAATCAGCTGAAGCATATTTTAGTGAAAGTTTTAGTGAAAGATGTACCAAACAGAAATGTCATTTTTAGCACAATTTGGCCAAAAAGTGTCTAAACTGTGCAAAATGTGTTTTTACCTCATAAAAGAGAGCCGATATCCATTATAGGACTCTTTCTACTTTTGGTCACAGTGTCTAACTTGTTTATTGTCAAAATAGCATAGAATACATAAAATGGAAAGAAAATAAACTAAATTTAATCCTTTTTGTCTCCAACTGGAGAATTGTATTGAACGAAATTAAACTGGCTGAACCTTTTCAGATACATTATTTTCATGGCCTGTTTAAGGTCATAAACAGAACTGATGAGCTGATGTTATCTCCTCCAGTCAAAGTCCAGACTTCATGAAGTCTGGACTTTTTACCTCATAAACTTTTTACCATGAAGTCAAAGTCCAGACTTCATGAAGTCTGGATTTTGACTAGTTCACTAAGAGGTTGACTTGCTGATTCTGACAAATTATCTAAGCAACACTCACTAAATGACTCAAGTGAATGGATTGGTTTAGTGAGAGATAAATTCAAAACAACCACCTCTATTAACCACAGTTAATTGATGTGTTAAAATAACTGGGGCAGGTTGGGTGGGAACACTTTGTTGCTTCATTAAAAAAAATAATAATTTGAAGGCTTTTGTTTTATTTATTCAGCTTCTTTTTCACTGATATGAAAATCTCTTTGAGCTGAAACATTTCAGCAAAAAGCTAAATTCAAACAATGGAAACAATAAAAGTAGATGTTACTTTAATGAATGAGAAAACACCCCCTCATTTTTCAGTTTCTGATCTGTTCATCAGCAATTTGCTTCTAAAAATAGTGAAGTTTGTTTCTGATATCTGGCTGATTCACAAAAATATGTAGAAAACGATATGTTTGTTTGATCAACTGTAACCAAACAGAAATGTTTAGGATGAAGATCTCCAATAGAACTCTGTAAAACGAAAATGGAAACATAATCCTATCAAACAGGTTGTATTATAACTTCCTTGGATGAACGGCCAGTCTGATAACTCCCCACTGACAGCCTTTCCCATTGTTAGCACATCCTGAAACCTAGTAAACACAGAGAAGGAATGTGGTGGGCACATTATTCAAGTTACAGAGGCAAGGTGACCACAGATGCTGCCAGTCAAGATAAACCACTACCACTGTCTTGATAAGTTCTGTACTATTTAAAGAAACTTAATCTGTTGATGCGTTCCCTTACTTTATATCAAAAAAGAGCAGAATATAACAAACTGATTTACAAACTGAAGAATAAACTGAAGAGTTTCAGTTCTCTAATGGATTTGGTTTTAAATTGTTCCAAAGCTGTTACTTAAAGTGAAATTGAATGTAAACTGTATGCTGGATTCCCCTCATCTAGAAACAGTAGCTTCCCTCAGTAACACACCACTGAAGCAGCAGGACAGTAACTGAATGAAAAAGGTTCACAGCTGATGCTACAATATGGAATAAATATGCTGATGGCACATCTAGCAAAAATGCCTCAAATACACAGATTAGTCTACCTCAGAAAATGCACAACATAACAGAAAAAAATGGGATCAAACACAAGGCAAACATCTGACTGAATGTACATTACTATCATGACGTGAAGATAAGCGATTTTTTTAACAGATTGTGAGCTGAAACAATGCTTCAAGAAAGCTCTAGCTGTTACATGAAAGGCAATTTACACCATAACTCTGAGATGGATGAAAAATCGACATATTCACAGTAAAATCCCTTCAGTGCAATCTTGTTCTAATTTTTCAGTTCTGTTTTATAATCAATGCAAATGTGAGACGATTTAAATTGGAAAGGTAAACTGTAAAAGAAACGTCCTAAATAAAGCGGGCAGAGAGTTAAAATCATTATCCGGTCAATTAAGTTGCTGAACTTACCAGACACCCCATAAGCGAATATCACAGCTATGTAAACTTGCATGATGCCTCTGGAAGTTCTCTGTTAAAATCGCGCTGGTGGGAGAAAGGAGCAGTAATTATCTGGTCCCACTCTTCCCAGGTGTCAAATTCACACCGGAAGTTTTTAAATGAGACGCTGTGCGGTAGCAGCCGCGCTGACGGTGTAAATACGGTGGTTCGATCCGGAGAGCAGCAGCAGGAGAGACCTGTGAACGCTTCATAGGATCGAGGCGGTCTGCAGCCTCCTCCCGTGTGGGGGAAAGGTTTAAAGAGTTGCCATGTTCTGACGCACGGGGAGAAGCGGGCGGCACAGGTGCGGCAGCGCGCGCAGACACGCAGCTTTCACATACTACCACCTCTGAGCGCGAGCTGCTCAATAAATGCGCCTCTATTTAATTAGGGACACCAAACTCTCCCAGTGCGGTGCTGTGAACTAGAAGACTGATTGCTTTAACAACCCACAAATGAATTCGCTTTGTTTTTTCTTTGCACACTCTTGAAATTCAGAAGACTTCAGTTCGGGTTTAGGTTTTCTTTGTTTCACACTTTTCATATGAGCTTCTCTCATTTTCTTTCCTTCTGTCGCGCCTATCATGTTCTCTCTCTGTCTCGAAAATTTCCAGTTTCATACAGAATATTAAAGCTAATCTCTCTTCAGTGTTATAAAGGCAAGTATTATGTTCAGAAAGCAGGTTTCTTTCTATTATCGAGGAAAGCTGCTATTTATAAGAAAAGCCGGGCGCTTCTTCCACCTCAGTGCTATTACAGTATCAGTCCAAATCTCTGCTGCTTTGATTGGCTTTTGTTTCGTTTTATCCTGCAGCTGCATCAGGAAAAAAGCCATTATCCTCATAAACTCAGACAACATAGCAGAATTTTTTCACCATTTTCCACTTTTACCATTTAAACCTAAATTGACTGAGAGTGTATTTGGGGTTAAACCAATTTTAGTAACTGATGGGACTCTGTGTATCTTCAAAGGCTCAGAGTGGAGGAGCTATCTGTCAGCATCATCCTTTCACATGGATGTAAGCGTCAGTCAGAAGGGAATTCATCCCACCATAACAAATAGCCTCTGGGCATGGTGACAAACTAAACTATATTGGAATAAAACCTTGTCTGTCCAACAATATTAGCTAGAATCCTTTGAGTCAAATCAAGAATATCATATACAACAATGGCTATTAGAAGACTCGATACAATCATCATACCGTCATATTCATTTGGAGATTTTATTGATGCATGTGGAAAAATATATGCAAAGAAATTTTACCACTGGACTTTTTGCACCAATCATTGAATGGATCTTTCAGCAATGTCTTGAGATTCAGTCTGTATGACGAATTTTGGATGAGAGCACAATCAGTCACTTTCGTATAATCTGCCTATGAACGTCAATAAATTTGAGTATTGATCTTGACTGAAAAAAAAAGACAAAAAAAATAAATAACTGACTTGAGGACAAACTCTAATACAGTAAAAACAAACTGTGAAAATATTTTTTTATTTACTTTTTAAAAATGTAAAAACATTTACATCTAATGTTTGATGACTATTTAGGTCAAAGGTAGAAGGCACTAACAGCAAAATGCTATAGAGTAAAACTGCAGTCTGTTGAGGCACACACACACACACGCACACACACACACACACACACACACACACACACACACACACTAATGAATTTAAAAGCATTCCATTGACCCTCAATTGCTCCCATTTTCTGAATATCTTTCTAGTTTTAAAGGTGAGAAATGCAAAATGATGCTCATAGCCTCCAAAGTGTCATGATTCGTGTTTCTGTGTATTTATTTTTTAAGGGTTTTCTGTGTTCAGTTTCTGTCCTGTGAGTCTCTGTTGTCTCTGCGTCTTCCCCGTTGATTGCTTCCCAGGTGTGTCTAGTTACCTGATTACCCTCCCTGTGCATTTAAACCCACCTGTTGTCTTTGTCTCTTGTCGGGTCCTTGTCTATGATAGTTCGTCTGCCAGTGCAGTTGAACTGTTAAGTCCTGTGTCGGCATTAGCTTGTCACGTCAGTCCAGTGCTGAGCCTCTGTGTTTCTGCTCTGCTTTGCTGCCTGAGATCTGGACTGTTTTTGAGCTACACTCTTCATTAAATTCATCATTTTCTTCTACAACCTGGGTCTCTGTGTCTCTCCTCACCACCACCAACCACTCCACACGACACAAAGGAGAAAACAGTACTGATTTACTCTGTTTATCTAAAAACCTAAATCTGGTGATGTAACAGGGGGACACAAATCAGATACAAAGAATCAGCAAAAACCTCTTCCAACATGGGGTGAACACAAAGACATAAAATCTGTTCTTAAGTTTAACACAACAGTGGGGAGTTTCTTTTCAAAGCGTAAATGTCTCTATTTGCCTTTAACCCCTAATTAGAACTTTTTGTAAATTAATACATTTTCATGAAGGCAGACTTTAAGAACATAAAATCCTTTTGGGTATTAAAAAGTTCATCCAAGAGTCCATGAACTAGGCCAATTATATTTGAAGTATTGAGTTAATTAAGCATGCATTCCATCAACTACACCTTTTCAGATCATTTTAGAGATTTGTAAAGTTCACATTAATAATTATTCATCTCCAGTTCTGATAGCTGGCTATTACAACACCACAGGTTGATTCTCTTAAAAAGGCTCAATCTGACAAATTAGAGTCTTTAATTAATGTGATGTACTGTCTTAAAAATATAACAAATAATTGGTCCCTCACTTTTGGTCCCTCAAATAATTGGTCTCACAAAGCTGAGACTTAAACAACTTTTTAGTCTCAGCTTTTGGAGCCTGGTGTGATCAGATCTGCTGGGGATTAGCTAAGAAATGAAGCTGCAGTTTGTGGTAGCTGATGAATTCTACCTCTAAATGCACTCAAACACACCCTCTAATCTTATTTCAGTTCATAGAAGATGAGATAGAATATTTATTTTTAGGTTTTTCTGCTTGGCAAGCATGCAGATTGGATACATGATGCTAGTCTGATTTCACAGATTCAAATCCAGACAGAGCAGCGGAGATGTGGGAGAGGTGTGAAGCGTGTAGTTCTGCAGAGATCGAATGACTATTTTCTGTGTGGTATCAGTCAAATAGAGTTTAAATTAGGGTGTAAAAATGGGTTGTATGTGTGCACTGCCTGGGTTAAACACGTCACAGAGCCTTGATAAACAAACAGGTTATCGCTCTCAAAGTGAAGATGAAAATTTATTTTTCACCCCTTAAACAACAAGAAGGTTATTTAGGGAGGGAACAAGTTCTCAAGGAATCCTGATAGCTGGGTCTTCTGGGCTTAAACCAGGAAAGATTGGTTCAGGGAGCATGAGAATTCATTTTCACACTTCTAGTGGCCACCCTGATGTTCAGGCATTTAACGCTACTGCCCATAGTGTCAGAGTCTCCTGACATCAAACCAGAATCTTTGCAACTTTTGTAAACTAACCATTAGGATATTAAGTTAGTTTTTTGTTGTGTTTTTTCAAAACAACATTCAGCTTATTTTCTGTTAAAGATAACTTGGAACAGTATTCATAATGTTTGAGCAGAGTACCCAAACAGGAGGAGGTCCAGTTATCCAGGAATCTTTATGTGACCTTTCAGACTTTTTCCCCTTTTTTTTTGTCAGATTTTGTTCTGAACTCTAACTAGACCAATTTTGATTAAGTAATTCTGTCACTGATTCCCAAGTGTGTTTGAAATCAGAGTGATGCTGAAAAATAAAATCCCTCTTTATCTTCAGCTGTCTGGCAGCAACCAGAAGGTCAGTCAGAATTAACTGGTATTTAAATTTGTTCATAAGTTTTCCACTTTGACAAAAAGTCTGCTTCCATCTAACAAGAACTAATCCTTAACGTCTAGAGTTTTTTTTAGATTGAAACTGCTAGACTTGGAGATTTCATTCAAGGCTGGATACTTTCTTTTGGAGACAAGTTTTCTGTCTTTCAAACACAAAATTTAGTCCACACATTTGGGGAACACAGGAGACTGTCACATCATTATCATTATGTCCTTCCTTCCAGCAACGTTATAACCATCACTGCTCCCCAAAACTTCTGTTTTCACCCTACTATTAATTGCAGATTTTTTTTAATGTTTTTGTAGATAGTTTGTTTTCCTGTCCATATCTATACATGCACAGTTTGTACATTTTTTTTTACATGATCTTACTGAGTTACATTCTTAGAATGTATTAACTGCACTGCATTTTCTTCTTGTGCTGTAAGTTATTCATCACACTTTTCTCCTAACTGATGTCTTTGTATAATGACACATTTGTGATCCAGTGAATGTCTCTGCAAACTATGACTTTCACTATAGATTATGAAAGAGTGACAGATAAAGTGACAAACACCCTGATAGGTCAGCTGAGCTTTACTTCAGGTTCATCGGACTCATGCTGGGTGTATGCCCAAAGGGGACTGAATGTTGTTCTATTCAATAGCAAAAGGCAACATATTTCACAACTTCACTAGGCCTGGTTATCTCTTAGTCTTCCATTTTCAAGGTGGACTGAACTTCCTAAACATTGTCACACTGTCACAGGAGAAGCTCATTTGAGTTGCAGTCACAGAAACAGCCTACAACAAGACAGAGAGCGTTCCAGCTGTATTAGAAGAGACACTACTTTCTCTCTTTAGTTATTTGGATGGTCGGTTCACTTGCAAGCAAAATAAAACCCATTTTCCAGTCAACCAGATTTAGTTTGTTTGGTCAACAGCAGAGTTAGTATGAGCTTTTACACCTGCTCACATAAAGCAGACAATCCAAGAAAAAATAAAAAATAAAAAATCCTGGTCTGTTTAAAACGGATCTAAAAGCTCTGGTGTGATTTTACCCAAAATGTGAGGAGGGAACAAAAGCACAGGAGCCCAGGAAGAGTGCAACTTTCTCTCCACGTCGCTTCAGACTTTTAAAACGGAGAAAGCCACATCCAATCCAGAGTCAGAAAATACATGCTTTATTTTCAACTTTCACCTCATCTTGAATGGGAAGAAAACACAAGCAAAGCTTCATGGTTTTTGGAAGAGTAGTGATTTGTAAAGAAAAGAAAAAAAAAGAAAAAATGACAGTAGTCAGTTCCTTTTTAGGCTGAAAGTGGTGCACTTGTTGCCTCTCAGTAAGAATACCAGCCAGGGCCTTTCTGTGTGGTGTTTGCATGTTCGCCACATGAAAGTGAAGGTTACCTTTTGTGTAGCTGCCGAATGCAGGTGTCTCAGGTAAATTGGTCACTCTAAATTATTGAAAAGTGTGTGAAAACTGAAGGACAACTAAGTAACAAGAAAGCTCTCAGAAATGCTGAATGAGGGCTGCAAATCTTGTGTGTTT